GTCAGAGGAACAGCACAGAGGCCCAGGAGCAGCCGCACGCAGCAGAGCTCGACACAGGACAGAGGATACAGTGTCTGCACGGGACGACACATGCCGTGACGTCTCTGCGTCACTCCACACAAAAGCCAGTTCCAGGTGGATCGAAGACTAAACTTTGTGAAAGCAAAGCCTGACAAGTTTCAGAAGAAAATATAGAAGAATGTCTTTATGACCACTGGGAACAAAGGATTTTTAAGTGACCTAAAAAAAATAAAGCACACACAAAGGAGACGGCTGCCAGACAGGATTACACCACAACAAAAGCTTCCGCACACAAAAGGTGCCACCAACAAAGGAGACCGTGCCACTGCAGGGCTCAGCCGCCTACAGTCGGGGAAACCCCGGGACAGCTGCAGACTGAACAGCAGATGACACCAAGTGTTCTTGGAGGGACCCCCAAACTCTGACACAGGGTTCACAGTGACCCTGCCTTCCGGGGAGAAGCGAGGCTCATGTAAGAGATGGTTGTTCTTGGTCAGGCAGACATGGAGAACCTACAGTTACACGTACTATCACACTAACTAACGTGAGACACTGGGGTCCCTGCATTTCAACACTTTGCCTAATTCCTGACTATCATTCATTGGTCAAAATAAAAGTATTCTTTGTTGGAGAGATGTATCAGAGGTCGGAGCAGCTCTGTGTAAGTAGCCTGGGCAAGACGTGAGCGGAGCAAATGCTAAGTGCTATTCTGAGGCCCTCACATGAGAAGGTTTAAACTTCAGTGTGAAATTTAAAAACAATTTATACGTATCTGTGTTTATAAGAGTAACAAGACTTATTGAGGACAAACTGGAAGTAAGAGAAAATGGGAAGAAATGAAAATCAGGCAGCGAAGCAGGAGTCAGCATTCTGTGCTTGGTATATATAAACCCAAACATGCACACACATAAACCCAAACATGCACACACATACACGTGTATGTGACACATGCCAGCAGGGTTCCCTCATGCTATTATTCTTCAAAACACGGTTTCTAAGGCCTCACAATATACCGCCGTTTGGATGGATCATAATATATTACCATCCTCCATTGCTGAGCAAATGATTCCAATTTCTCACTTTATAAATAATTCTGCAACAGACATCTTTACACGTCCAACTTTGACCACCTCTGATTATCTTCTTTGAATATAACTCATAGAATTATATGTGTGTCTAGACACACTCTTGACACACAATTCCACCTGGATGTTGGAAGCACTGGCCTCACAGCATCGAGTGTCAGCTTTTTAAGAGTCTTTGCCAATTTGGTCAAAAGGAGTCAATCTTTGCATGTTTATCTCTTTCATCACTAGGAAGTGAAACACTTTCCACATTCCTATAGCCAATTGCATTTCTCTTTTGTGATCTGCCCATGGTTATTGTCTTTGCTCATTTTTCCTGTTGGGGATGACTGGGCTGCACGTGTGACTCCCGGGGCTGCACGCGTGACTCCCGGGGCTGCATGGTCAGCCCTCACAGTATTACTACAGATACCTTATTGGATGTCCATGCTCCGTCAAGGCTGCAAACCTCAGGCAGCCTGGCCAATCCATGAAGGGGCTCTCTCTTCTGTTGTTCTACTGGTAAGTCATTTTCTTTTCTTAAACAAATAGCTTTTAATGTTCATCTCTGATAATAACATCACATGCTCATTGTGGAAGAAAAAGGGAGGAGACACCACTAAGACACCCCAGCAATGTTCTGATGATTTTCCTATGGTTCTTTCTCCCAGTTGCCTAAACACCTTCTACGCATGTATTTATCTATAATCAGGTAAATATAGTTTACTGTTTCCTATGTCACTCTCAACATTAAACAGCATATGGTACATATTCTTTAAAATAAGTCAGAGATGCCCTTTTGGTTTCCTCATGTTCAGTTATCAGTCTCTCTCAAATGACAAAACTGCTCAGGGCACAGCGTCCAGAGGGCAATAGAAGCTGCAGCATTTTTTTTTTTTTTTTTTTTGCTGAGCTCTGTCCCCATGTCCTCATCTCCGTGCCCCCATCTCCACCCTGTGTCCTCATGGTCTGCGTCCTCAGCTCTGACAGCAGGGTCAGTGTGAAGCCCTGAGGATGCAGGGGCCTTAGACTCGCCCATCCCCCTGCGCTGGGCTGGCAATGGAGCCTGCATGTGTGTTGCCAGCTTCTGTGAGGGTGTGCTCAGGTGGAACTCAGAGAGTCATGAGAAATCACTGTGGCTGCCAGGGGTGCTCCTGGGGGGAGGCCTTTGATTTCCTCCCTGAAAGGCAGCCATGAGCCCTGGGGGGTGGGGGTGGGGCGCGGGGGCTTGTAAGGAGCTCCCCGCGCATTCTCCCTGGCAGAACTGGGCTGCGGGGGGAAGGAGGCCGACACAGGCAGGGCAGGGAGGGCTGCAGTGGCTGGAATCGAAGCTGCTGGCCTATATCTCCTGTCATCTAGACACGGAGGAGGCCACTGAGGTGGAGCTGGCAGGACTCAGCCCTGCCAGGATTCACACGGCAGGAGGGGCTGGCCAGGGAAAGGGTTAAGTTTAATTTATCCTGATTTCTATTTAATATCATGCTCTCCCCGTAGGAGCCGGCAGCTGTGAGCTGATTGCACGCGCTCATTATGCAGTCTGTATCGCTAATGGCCTGTGACAAAGGCATGCGGCTTCCAGGCCTTACCCCCGAGAGCCAATTAAACACACATACTCCCTTCCTGTTTGCAGCGCATTACAATGAAATTAAACTGAATTTCAAAATCATTTTCTCCTAAAGACATCTCTTTACAATAATTAATGCATACTATTCCTTTTTGACTGAAATATTCATCAGGAGCGGTGACTAAAATGTTTTAACGCTGACTGCCCCACATTTTGCATTGCTGCCGCCCCGGTGCTCAGTGAGCCCTGCTATCGGCAAAATCCACAGGGTTTTGGTGCCTGTGCTTTTAAAGGAAAAAAAAAAATCTGCAGCTTTTTATCTGAATTTTAAAATAAAAGAAGATGGCTACAAAGCGAGTCGAGCTTTCCAAATCAGGTTTCCAAATTCAAGGGGCTACAGGAGGGACACAAAAAGCACAATTAGCTCAAAAGTAGTATTTCCTAAATTCTGCATTTGAAGGACAATAAAAGGAAGGGGTTTGTTTCTACCACACTGGCCTGTATTAATGCGGATGTTTACAGCAGGTAAACCAGGCAGGCATGTACTGCATAATATGCTGCTGACTACATGACAGGCAGAGACAGGAGGGCCCAAAATAGGTGACCTGGGCTCCTGGGTCTCCAACCACTGGGCCCTCTGCTGACCGGCGCCCCAGATTTGCCTGCCAGGGATCCTGGGGCACTGGCCTCTGTTCTGGAAGTTGACAGATGTCCACTCTGCAAACCCTTTGGAACCCTCTACAACCTGCTCTGTCTGCCCAGTGTGGAGGGACCTGGGCAATGGGACACTTCCAATCACAGCTTCTGGGAAATACACGTCAGAGGGTATGTGGGAAAGAAAGCCATGGGTGGCTGTGGGACCACAGGGTGGACGTGGGACTGGCTAGGATCAGCAAGTCCAGTCCTAAGTGCCACTTGCACAGCGGCAGAAAGGGGCCACTAGACACCCCCCAGGACTTTTCATCTGCCCCTGCACCCACAAACTTCAACTCGATGGGGGCCCACATGGCCCCCCGCTCTGTCACTGGGTCACCTCAAGCCCATGATGGCGCCAGACAGGAGAGTAGACATGGAATCCACCCCCTAACGATCCACACTGATGTAAGCCTGGTGAGGTGACATGTGTGCGAGCGTCAGCCCCATGCAGCACACGCCATGCGGGTCACCAGGCTAAGGGCCATGGCCATGGCTTAACACACCCTCTTTCCCCATTAGATGTGCATGGCCACCCCCCACAGTGTCCATCCCATCCGCAGGCTGCCACCTTTCTCTTGAGCTCTGCTCCCCACACTGGAGCAGGGATTAAGGTGCATTTCTGATTATGGGGCCAACATAGGATAACATGTGAAAACAGGCCTTTCTTTTTAGAAAATATTGCCTTAAGATTATGAAATAATGCACGTTCAGCACAAAAGTTTTAGAAATACAGATAGGCAAAAAGAGAAGGAGAAATCACCCAGAACCCCACCATCTCGATGTCAGGAACTGGGGTTCTGGTGAGTGTTCCAGATGCACACCTGTCAATCAGTCCAGCTGCGAACCTAAACATTCCCACGTCTGCGTCTGCCTTGCAGTCATGTGGGTAGGACTGCTGGGCCCCAGGAGGTGGGGGACATGGGGGACAGAAGGGGATGGAGTCGGGGTACAGAAGGGTGGAGGGGATGTGGGACAGGGATAGGGGGCTCCTCAGAGCAGGCTTTGGGTACATGTCCCAGGTGACAGGATGCAGGTGTGGGGGGTCCCACCAGCGCATTCCAGAAGGGCCACCTCTTCCTGCCCAGTCACTGGGCCCCTGGCTTTGGGGTTTACACTTGCCCACTCAGGCAGGTGACACAAAGAATGCAGAATTTAGCATAAGAAATAATGGAAATGAATGATGCGAATCACACATGAACTGCATTCTACCAAAATGGCTCTGACCCTGAATGGGGGAGGGGAAGATTTACAAAGTAGGGTGAGCTAAGCATGGGTGGGAGGGGGTGAAGAGGGTCTCTGATGTAGAATACAGTGGTGACTGGGAAGAGGGGGAGTCCTGACTCAAGGGGGGCAGTGGGACCACCAGGCAGGGGCTGCGGGGCCAGGGGCCAGCGTAGGAGCCTTGCAGCAAGACCCGGAGGCTGATGGCTTTCCTGAGGACTGTGGCCTCAGGAGCTTCCTTTCAGAGGCCAGCAGGGGGCTGGAGCGCTGGGTCGGGGTACAGCCATGGAAATGTGAGACACAAAGTGCAGCCCCCCCATCTCTGCCTTTCACAGGTTCTGGGGGTGTACAGGCGTGGCGACAACCTGGGGTGGCCAAGTCACATTCCTTCCCCAACCCCCGGGGGTCTCCCCACTCTGGTGCCCTCCGGATACCTGTTTTAAACCAGCCATCGGAGGTAAAAGCTTTCTTCGTTTCTTCCGGTTTGTCCCAGTATTCCCGGAACACAGAGGGTCCCCTGACCAGGAGCTCCCCTTCCTTCTCCTTGAACCCTGGGGTCACCTGTGGTGTGGGAGAGAAACGTGCATTCAGAGCAACACCTCCCAGGGTGGGGTCTCCACCTGCCTTCCCCGTGCCCATGCCCGACCTGAGGACTACATGCTCTTCTGAAATTACTTTGTTGGAAATGACTGAAAAACGCAGCTGTCAATGCAAGAACTCAGTCACAATGGCACAGAGCTGCTCCCTGAGCTCGCCTGGGTGAGGCTGTGGGTCATCTCTTTATTCCAAAAGAGCCCCGTCCTGTAGATTCAAGGATTTAAGCGGCCAGGTCTCAGAGCTCAAACCTGGCTAGATTAGCTGTCCGGCCACTTCTAAAAGCCGTCTCCTGGTTTCCCATGAAATACCACCATCAGGGCATTTCTTGGACAAATGACAGAACCCAGGAGAAGCAGGCAGCTGCCCATATCCCACCAGTGGCTACTGGAGGAACTCCTGAGCTGGTAGCACCTGCTGTAGAGCCCTCTGAAGGAGGTTACTTTGCTTAATGAAAAAAAAGCTGACAGAGTTGCCTACGGGGGTTGGAGGAGAAGACTTGGGTACCAGGAGACAGCAGTGCCAGAATTCACGTGGTCATGGGAAGCAGGATGTCCCAGTGTTTCTCCAATGTGACCACAGTGAAGGGTGGGCGGGAGGCTGGGTTTTATAAGAAACTGAGCTGGGGTTTCCGTGGTGCCAGGTGAAGCATATGCAGAGGAGGTAACATGCAAGGCAGGAGGCCCCGTGGGGTTACAGGTGCATTCCTCTGGTAAGCCATCACTGGCTTAGTTGGAGAATTCAACACTCTTCATTTAGTAATAGGGCTGGTAGTCAGGAAACCAGTAAGGATGTGAGAGAACTGAACACCACCATTAACCATTGCATCTAATTGACATTTACACTCTAACACAAACCAGCAGAACAGTTGCCAAGCATGACCACACATTCTGGGCCAAAAAACACACCTTAACAAATTAAAAAAAACTGAAATCATATCAAACATGTTTTCTGACTATAATGGAATTGAGAAAGAAATCAATAACAGAAAAATATCCAAACACTTAGAAAATAAATATCACACAAATAATTTTCCATGAGTCAAAGAGAAAGTCTTAAGGAAAATTAGAAAATACACTGCACTGAATGAAAATGAAAATACAACATATCAACATTGGGAGGTACAGCTAAAGCAATGCTTAGAGGGAAATTAATATCATTAAATGCATATATTAGAAAAAAGGTCTCAAATCAATAACCTAAAATTTCACCATAAGAAACCAGAAGAAGAGAAAAATAACCCAATGGCAAGCAGAAGAAAAAAACAATAAAGATAAGAAGAGAAACCAATTAAGACTGAAAAGAGAAAAGCAATAGAGGAAATTCAATGAATCCAAAAGCTAGTTCTTTGAAGAAAGAACAATAAAACGGATAAACTTCTAGCAAGAACAACAACAACAAAAAAGAAACAGAAGACACAAATGATCAGTATGAGGAATGGGATGGACATCACTTCAGACTCTGCAGGTATTAAAAGGTTAATAAGGAAATTCTATGAAAACTCTATGCACACAAATTCAGCAATTTAAATGGACAAAGTACTCAAAAATCACTATCTACCAAAATTCACCAAGATGCAATAGATGACCTGAACAGCCCTATAACTATTAAAGAAGTTGAATTCATAGTTAAAATCTTCCAAAAAAGAAACCTCTAGACCCAGACAGTTTCACTGGTAAACTCTATCAAATATTAAAAAAAACACATAGCTCCAATTACATACAATTTCTTCCAGAAGATGCATGAAGAGGGAATACCTCCCAACTTATTTTATGGTGCCAGCATTACCATATACTCAAGCCAGACAAAAAAGTACAAGGAAAGGGAACTACAGGCTAAAATTCTTCATGAACATAGATGCAAAGATCCTCAACAAAATGTTAGCAAATCAAACCCAGCACTATATAAAATTAAAAAAACACCATGCCCATCCCCAACTGGGGGTTTGTCCTGGGAATGCAAGGCTAGTTCAATATAAAAAAATCAACTGTAATCCCATATTAGCAGCCTAATGAAAAAATAAAATCAGTTGATACAGGAAAAAAAAAGCATTTAAAAACATTCAACATCCATTTATGATAAACAAAACTCAGCATATCATAAATAGAATGGAGTCTACAAAAAGCCTACAGCTAATGTCATGCTTAACAGTGAAAGATCAAATACTTTTCCCAAAAGATCAGAAAACAGACAGGATATCCATACTCACTATTCCTATCTGACATCACACTATTGTAGAAATGCTTATCAGGGCAATAAAGTGAGAAAAAGAAATGGAAAGCATACAGATTGGAAAGGAAGAAATAAAACTGTTCCTAGGGGTGACCGGTTAGCTCAGTTGGTTAGAGCGTCGTGCTGATAACACCAAGGTTGCTGGTTCGATCCCCGCATGGGCCACTGTGAGCTGCACCCTCCTTAAAAAAAAGAGTAAACTATGTCATTGTAGCACGAAAGCAATGTGTAACCAATGGCCATAGCTGTTCCCCAATAAAGTTTAAAACAAACAAACAAACAAAAAACTGTTCCTATTTGCAGAAAACATGATTGTATATGTAGAAAATCCCAAGAAATACAAAAAATTCTTAAAAGTAGTAAGTGAATTTACCAGGGTTACTAAAAGATCTGAAGCCAAAACATTATCATCAATTGTATTTCTATATACTAGCAATGAGCAGTTAGAAACAAAAAAACCGTACACTTAACATTAGTTGAAAAAGAAGAAGCAAAGGAGGAGGAGGAATAGGAGGAGAAAAGAAAAGAGGAAATAGGTATAAATCTAACACAAAATGAACAGGATCTATATGCTGAAAACCACACCCACACACCCACACATGGCAGATGTAAAAAATGGACAGATATACTATGTTCATGGATTGGAAGACTCATCATAGTAAAGATGTTAATTTTCCTCAAATTGACCTATATATTTCATGTGATTTTGATCAAGATTCCAAAAGGATTTTTTTTTTGTCGATATAGATAAACTATTTCTAAAATTGGTATGGGCAGGCAAAAGAACTAGAATAGTCAAAACCACATTGATCAAGAAGAATAAAATTTGTAGAATAACACTACAATTTAGAAACTTACTATAAAGTTACAGCAGTTAAGGCTGTGGTATTGGCAGAAGAACATAGATCAATGTAAGAGGTATATAACCTATCTATAGGCCTGCTCAAATATGTACAATTGATTTTGACAAAGTTGCAAAGGCAACTCAATGAAGACAGAGTAGCCTTTCCAACAGATAGTATTTGAACAACTGGATATCCATATGCAAAAAAAGTAATCTCCACTTAAGCCTCACATATTATGTAAAAATTCATCTAAAATGCACCATAGAATTAAAGTAAACTGTAAAACTATAAAATTCTCAGAAGAAAACCTAAGCGAAAACTTTTGTGACTTGGAGTTAGAAAAGGAGTTCTTGGAGATAACAGCAAAAGCATGATCTATAAAAGAAAAAAAATAGGTAAGTCAGGCTTCAACAAAATAAAAAACTTTTTCTCTATGAAATACAAAAGAATGAAAAGACAAGCCACAGACTGGGAGAAAATGTTGGCAAATTAGATATCCAGAAAAGAACACTTAAAATTCAACAGTAAGAAAATGAACAATCTGAGGGGAAGTTGGCAGAGCAGGAAGCTCAGGAATCTGTCTCCCCACCTGGACAACAACTGCTCAAGCTGCATTTGTCTGATGACCCTCTTCTGGAACTTGGGAGTCTGTTGAAGGCTTGCAATTTCCAGGAGAAGGCTTGGATAGTAAATTGGCAGTTAATTTTGGTCACCTTCAGCTCTTAGCACAGTAGCATCTGTCCCTCTCCCACCCACCGCCATGCCAGGCAGCTGCACACAGCTTGCAGGAGCCAGGGTGAACAGGGAGGACCCTGTCCTCCAAATACTGGGATCTGAGCTGATTGCTGATTCTGATCACCAAGGTGCAAAGAGGCAGGAAGCCATTGTTATTGCAGCTCCGCCCACTATTGCATGTCTCTCCCCTACCAGGTAGAGTGACTCCCAAGTGATTTAAAGGGTTCCCCCCTTCATTTTTCACTTTTCCCCTTTTGGGAGCCAGACATGAAAATCAGCATATTCAAAAACAACTGTATACTGGGGGAAAATTAGAAAGTGACTGCACATGCCCAAGGAAAGGCTCAGAAAAGATGTAAGAAAGGACCTAAGTTTATACCTCAGGCTGAATTCTCAGCACAGAGATAGCCTACAACAATCAGTACAATAAAAATAATAAATAAAAACAATAACAAAAAATAGCAAGGGGATGGGGGAGAATCTGATTCTCATTGTTACCACATTAGATTCAAGTATTCAGTGCTCAACAAAAATCATAAGGCATACAAAGAAACAGGAAAGTGTGGCTCCTTCAAAGGGGAAAAAAAATAAACAGAAACTCTCCCTGAAAAAGACTTAATGGAAGATATACTACACAGATATTTTAAACCAGCTGTCTTAAAGATGCTCAAAGAACTAAAGGAAAATGTGGAGAAAGTAAAAAAAACAATGTATGAACAAAATGGAAATATCGATAGAGAGAAAACGTAAAAAGAAATTCTGAAGCTGAAAAGTATAAACAGTAATACCTCGGTTTGCGAGCATAATTCGTTCTGGAAACAAACTACTCATATTGCAAGACATTGCTTGTTTACCAAGTTAAAATGTATTATTAGGTTGGTGCAAAAGTAACATCTATTACTTTTGCACCAACCTAATAGAAACGTTTGCTCACCTTGTGAAACACTCGCAAATCAAGTTACTCACAATCCAAGGTTTTACCATATATGAACTGAAAAATTCACTAGACAGATTCAAAGCCAGATGAGAATAGGCAGAAAAAAGAATCAGCAAATTTGAAGATAGGACAATGGAAATGATTGAGTCTGAGGAATAGAAAGAAAAAAGACTGAAGAAAAACAGAGACTAAGAGACCCGTGAGGCACCATCAAGCAG